ACAAAACGGCAATAGTCTGGTACGAGAAAATAGTAGAATTTTCTGTGTCCGTTCTACTATTTTCTTGTACCAGACTATTGCCGTTTTGTCCGTACTACTGTTATAAAGAAAAAGAAAGAATGATGTGATTCGAAACGTCACCAATAAATGAAAATAATTTTATTAGGAAGAAAATACCCTTTGCGAAATATGTTAGAAACCTTCCTTTCACGATTACAACCTTTCTTGATGAGAACAAACAAAATAAAACTCTTCAGTTTTGTTTTTGGATTGATTATTTTATTCATCCAATCGAATATTGGTGTAATAAAATACTCTTACATATGATCGTGAAAAGTTCGTGGACGTGATCGTGATCGTGATTGTGATTATAACTTTGCAAAGCATCGTAATCGTGACTGCCATTGTTTAAAAAAAACCGTGATCGTGCGTAAAACTTACATTTCAACCGTGATCGTGAGCAAAGAAATCAATCACGCAAAACTCTACAGGCTGGTAAAGATAGGTTTTCCATAAGCTTTTGTGCTAAAACCTAGGCTTGAACGAGTTACATGTACCTAGAAACGCTATACTGTTGTTTTCATCCTCACATTCAAACGTAAAGGTTAAGGACCGTCCACTACTATATTCTCCAACTATCTGACCTATGCGCATTCTGATTTGTGATACAGTAGCACAAAAGAAAACGGCCCATGCTCACACTTTTCGGATTTTTATTCTCATCTGTTTCCTCGGTGAGAGAAAAGAAAAAAGTAACGTTTCGTTTGCTATCACTTCCTTTCTCCTGCACTTTCACATTTCAACAGAACATTTTTCTGTTTCTTAGAAACTGATTTCTCGTTGGCATATAAATCACGAGTTTACCTCTTCGAATGACACAATCGAATAGAGACATGATGCTGCCTAAACGAAGCACAAGTAAGATATTTTGTGAATAGAGCATGCAAGTTCACCATTCCATTTACTTTTCAGTGCTGGTTCCATTCCAATGTTTTTCACTGCTAATTGTTAGTGTAGCTCTGCTGATGAGAACAGCTAACAGCTGTATGTCTGAGGAAGATAAGGTACAAATTCCAGCCATTGATAAGCAATATTTGATGGAACAGTTGGCAGCTCAAGGTATGAACGAAGAAGATGCCCAAAATACAATCGCTGAGTTACAAAACTTTTATAGTGGTATAAAACTTGGAATGAAAAATACTCCTACCGTCGTTGTTGATACAGCGTGGCATGCTCACATAATCAATACTCAAATGTATTTCGACTTTACCGAGAACGTCTTCGGCCGATATCTCCATCATAAACCAAGATGGAGTGGAAGTGTTGCTTCAGAGCTCCCAATGCAAGATGCGTACAGTGATCTTCTTGCACTTGGATTCAAAAACTTGAATAAAACAATATGGTTTAGCGACACTGTTGTACCATTGACACCGTACTCAGAGGTATATGAGCGTTCACTAGAACAGTGTGAATTATAGCTGCTTTACTGCCAACCTTCCGTGGATCATTAACCTTTACGTTCGAATGTGAAGATGAAAACAACAGTATACCGTTGAGAATTTGGCATTTTGTATTAACGTCAGCGTGAAAAAAGCATGATGCGCATCTGTTGAGTTCGTTTGTAAGAGAGAAATGATAATAGTTGCAGTGTACCGCACCGTATTTCCATATTCTCCTAAAGACAGGACCATAAGAAGGTACAGACGAGACTATCTTAGCAAGAACAGGTGCATGATCACATGTTTCGCGTCATCATCCGATAAGTAGTACAGCGACAGATGATGATTGACGATGAAACACTAGAGAGTCGTTGGTTATCACGCCTGCTTGTGCAGTTTTGAGGAGGACAGAATCTTGACCCCTCGTTATTAGATTTAACAGACTCAGTGGACAGAGCATTTAATGCTCTGCACAGGCAGGCGTGACAACCAACGACTCTCTAGTGTTTCATCGTCAATCATCATCTGTCGCTGTACGGTTTAACCAGTCTTTGTTAAATAATGTATTGCTAGGCATAAACTAAAAATTCACTTGACCTTAAAAATATTATACAGCATTCGAACATAGTCATAGATAGTAGTAGATATCAAGCTCATATATCTTTTTATTTATTCGTGCAGTATTATCATCATTGTTTTCTTTCATCTTCTTTTCCTATACGTACAGCAACAGCATACTACATTTCACTTTTCATTCCTTCCTTTTCATTTTTTTCACTTCTTTCGTTTAGTATTTAGACATGAG